CTTTATATCCCACTTCTTGGCACCAATGTCGCGGCTTTGGGTTGCCTGCTGACAAAATTCTTGGGTTGGTTGTTCGTTTCGTTTATTCCAAAAATCAAAGTCCAATTAACACAGCAATAATTTATTCCACTTAACAAAACACTCTGACACTAATTACTTTATTAACAAACTCAACAATTCAACTCTTTACAATCACTATTTAAATCGTATCACACTCGAACTGAAACTAAACTAAACTACAAACCAATGCCGGCCTTCTTATATATCCCTAAATCTATTCCTGTAAAATCTAGAATACACGATAATATTATTTTCCCGAATTAAGTAGAATAATTCACTAGATTCTAGTATACTCAAGAGATAATACCGAGAGATTCTTGACAGCCTGGCGGACGTTTAGCTTATTGTGACAATATGTATATGGTATAATACTTGGAATCAGAAGAAAAAAATCTATCATTTTAGCCAAAAATATACAGGGTGTTCCTTTTAAAAAAAATACAAGTGTTTAGCACCTATCATTTGACCGTTTTGACATTTGCAAAAGATAATAAAGGTAAAACCCTACCAGCTGTATGCATCATCCTCTTTTTACGTAAAAGCGCTTTTTAAAACTGATCACTTTTAAAAATGTGTATTCTAAACCATACAAATTTTAAAAGGTACCAGTTTTTAAAAGTGCTTTTAAGTTAAAAGAGGATGTTGCATACAGCTGTACAACTTTGGTATGTAACTTTTTTTTTAATTTTTTTTTTATTTAAGCTGCAGAAAAAAGTGCACTACGCTACGTGTGTTTAAATTGCTTCCGTTAAAAACCGTTGTTACTGCGTTGAAAACTATCAGAAAAATTCCGGGTTTTTGCAAATCCAAGTGTTATTCAAATTTTCTAACCGAATTTGACATTAATCTAGAAGTAAGTGCCTTTATGCCCGCGCGGGCCATAATGTGTACTTTATGCCGGGCATAAAGTAATGAATTATGTAGATGGTATCTAAGGTATAAAAACACAATAATGTATTGGTATGACATAAAAATATTTTTAGCAAAAAATGTAGTCATGTTTTGAATATGAATGAAAAACTGTTGTCAGTTACTACAAAATTAAGAATGTTTTGCAATAACATCGATTTTGTAAGTACTCTTAATCTTCTGAATAGCGATTTTTGTAATAAACAATTCAAATTCTCTCTAAATCTAAATAAAAGGGGTCTGTTTAAGTTGGCAAATGATATAAAAAATGTCATTAAGAATTTTGGCAAAAATAATTTAACACACTTAAAATATGTCTCAACCACTGAATCTAATTATTCTTTTTTAGGGATGAAGACAGATCTTTAACGCTAAGACCTATAAATTGTGCCAATGATGAAGGTGTGTTATCTATTTCAGTTTCTAATCGACAATGCGGTGTTTTATATTTAAATTCGGGGGGTACCACTACTAATTTTGACCAGATACATAGCTTAGTAATACAGCACAGGCCGAACATTGTCTGTATTTCTGAAACTCACCTAACCGATAATATATGTGAGTCAGAAGTAAGTATTGATGGGTACGACTGTCTCAGAGTGAATAGCGTGAGTAGGCATACTGGGGGTATACAACTTTATGTAAAAGAGTGTCTTAGGATTATTAAAGTCGAAAGAGTATCTTTTGAGAAAAACTATTGGGTGTTGAGATTGAGGTCTGTGGTAAAAGTCTTTTAATTGTGTGTTTGTATCATTCCCCAAATGTTAGTGATAAGGTGTTTCTGGACTTTTTCGAAAATTGGTGTGGAGATGTAATCTGTGATAACAATAAACTAACTGTGATATTGGGTGACTTTAACATTAATATGCTTCGTTCCGATACTTACCCTACAAGATTGAAAAGAATTATTGATGATAATAGCTTATGTCAGTTAATAAATGAAGTAACAAGATCATCCACTGATGGAGGAACACTCATAGATTTAGTAATAACGAACCAATCGTATAATGTGGTGTCAAAGGTATGTCAGTCACATACCTAGAACAGAGGACCATTAAGTTATTGCCTTAGAAATATCAGTCTTCAAGACCTGCGAAACTCCACCGGTTTTTATAAAAACTAGAGGCAAAAATATTGATTATGAACTGGTAAGATATCACTTGTCGAATATTAGCTGGGAAATTGTGTATGGGATAATGGATGTAGACTTTAAGTGTGGGTTGTTTATCAATACTCTTACTAAAATACTAGACACAGTTGCCCCTTTGAAGACAATTAAAATTCAATTCCGTTATAAACCGTGGTGGAACGTAAGGGTGAAGAATGCTGTGAGGATAAGAGATGAAAATTACAAGCATTTTGAAGATCAGGAAACTGAAGAAAGTCATAGGGTCTATAAATAAAATAGAAATGCGGTAGTGAGGATTATAAGAGAAGAAAAAAGGCTATTTTTTGAGAACAAGGTTGATCAGTGTAAGAATGATCCTAAAAGTATGTGGACAACATTGAGACAGGTTTTGCCTGAAAATAAGAAATCAGGAAAAATACGTGAAATAGAATTTAATAGTGAAATAGAAGAGGATGAATTAATATTACCTTCCAGATTAAATCGGTTTTATGTTCAAAGCGTTCATGATATTGTTTCAGGAATTGATAGTAATAGTACCGAATCTGTCAATTTAGAAAATGAATGTGTAGATACAAGCAGGAAAACAACATCTTTTTGTGATTTTAAACTGATCAACTTGGAAGATTCAAGCAGTATCGTATTTTCTTTAAAAAATAAGAGCAGTCCTGACGATGTTGATGTTGGCTTCTTCAAACACGTGTATCCTGTAATCAAACTTCCACTCATAAATCTGATAAATTCTTCATTGGAACAGGGTTTTTTTCCGGATTTATTAAAGCTTTCTACAGTTGTCCCTGTAAAGAAGAAACCTAACTCAATTGAAGCACAGAATTATCGCCCAATCAATACTCTTCCGGTCCTTAAAAAAAAATTTGAAAGAGTTGTGTATAGTCAATTTGTTGAGTATCTGGAATTTAATTACTGAACATCAATCGGGGTTCCGAAAAGGGCACATTTGTGAGACGGCAATTCAATTTATTCTGGATGAATGGAAAAATAGTTTCGACAGCAATAAAAGTACAATCGCCGTGTTTCTACATCTCCAACGAGCTTTTGAGACAATAGATAGAGGCAAACTACTTGAAAAACTTGAAAAAATGGGAGTATCTGGAAGAGTACTGAGGTGGTTTCGTAGTTACTTAAGAGTAAGACAGAAGACAACTTCTGAAATTGAATGGAAAAATGATTGAGCAAATTTCCAATGAGTTGGGAGTTCCGCAAGGGAGTGTGTTGGGCCCAATTTTGTTTGTGCTTTATGTGAACGATATGGTGAATGTGGTTAATGATGAGGATAATTTGGAGTTACATCTTTTCGCTGATGATACTTTGCTTTATGGATCTTCTGAAAACATTGAACACTTAGTTATTAAAATAAATACTGTTCTAGGGAAAATTGATCAGTATTGCAAGAGAAATCTTCTTAAGGTTAACAAGAGTAAAACAAAAACAGACTATATTGTAATCGCAAAGGAAAGCATAAAACAGTTATTTCTGGTAAACCAACATAACATCGTAATGGGTGACGTGACTTTAGCTAGTGTCAAAAAAATTAAATATCTAGGTGTAATTATAGACGACATAATGTCATTTAAGGAGCACTGCAACTTAACTATCTCAAAAATAAGCTATGGAATTAGTCACCTTAGCAGATGTTCGCATAGTTTATCAAGATGATCAAGATTAGTAGTCTTTAGTGCATTGGTATCACCACACTTTACATACTGTGAGACAATTTTGTATGTGATGCGGCAAAATGAAATAAACCGCTTACAGAAAATGCAAAACCGCGCTATGAGAATAATACTATCATGTGGTAAGTACACCTCCATTAAGACAATGCTTAGACAACTGCAATGGCTCCCTGTGCTGTGCTGGAATTTTTTCGGTACAACGTCTTGGTTTTCATTTTCAAAATAAAAGTAGGTAATGCACCCTCCTATTTTAAGAACAAATTAACAGTTAACAACCAAGTCCACGGTCATAATACAAGGCAGCAGCAGAACTTCTATATACAACGTAGAAATAAAAAGCTTGCTGGAAATTCTGGTTTTTTTTAAAGGTCTGGATGATTTTAATAAGTTACCTAATAATATTAAAAATAGTTTATCTCTGAATGGTTTCAAGAAAAATTTAAAATTGTTTTTGCTTAGGGAAAATGATCTTGTTTCCTAAGTCAACATAGTCGTTGTGCATTTAAGGAGACATCTTGATCAGGTTTTTGTCCATTTTGTCCATTCTGACTCTTGTCTTTGTCCATTTTAATAATTGTACATTTGTATTTTGCAAGGATGTTTTCTCGGATGTTTTTAATTGTTTTGTTATGATTTCCGTTTGTACTGATTGATTGATTGTTTCTGTTAGTAATGTAATTTGCTTTGTAAAATGGTAAAACTGTGAAATTTGATTAAAATTTTGTAAACTAGCGTGTATTTGCTGAATAAGGGATTGTTAATATTACTTCATTGTTGAGTTTTAAGAAAGAACTAAAAATTTGTATGCTAGGTTGGATGGTTGATCCTGTGATAACTTTTAAATTACTGTATTGTTTGTGATTAAGTTTTGCTATGTTGGTTTATTTATTTTATGAATTATTTTTACATTTTATTTCTTAGTTACTTTTCAAGTTGTATATATATATTTTGTACTATTGTAAACTAGCAATTTTTATGCTAAATAAAGGATTTAATAATAAAAGAAACCACACTTATTATAAGGAACAGCCCTGTACTTATCCAAGGTAAAAGAGGGAGTTATGAAATCCTTAACTTCCGCGTGGGAGTTATAAAATCCTAACACCCGTGCAGGAGTTAAGACCCTGTTTATGTAACCAAGGTATTATAGGGCTATAATAGTTCAGTAAGACATAAAAAAAAAATTAATAAAGATTCAGAAAAACAATCACCTATATGTTGATCTTTTATCTTGTGGATATTTCTTCAAATTATCCAACAGTTTTTCTACACATAACTTCAAACCGACAGTGGTGGACATTTTACATGTAGCCAACATTCGGTGTAAGCCTTCACGAACTTCTTGAGAAAAATCTTCAAGAGCACCTGAGACAAGAAAAATTTTAGCTGAAAGAAAACCTTCTATATCTACTTACCTAATATTGTTTCCAATTGATCATCTCTCAAAATAATATGTTCAGATATCAATCTTAAACTGTCAATGGCTTTTAATCTTACATCTTCGATTTCATCATTGAACATGTCCACCATAAAATCCAGTGCCATATTGGAAAACTGGGGGTTACTTATCGATAATTGACATAGGGATTCAACAGCTGCAGACCTGACCTCTAATTTAAATATTAATAAGATTTGCCTTTGTTATACTATATTTACCTAAATATTCGTCTTCTAAACCATGAACAAATGCCCCACAAGCCCCACTACTCATCAGACTAATATTGTCAGCATCTAAAAGTTCTTTTGGAGCATCATCTGCCCACTTTTTGCCGCTAGCCCATTCTCCGCTTGTAACATTTTCCCATGCCAATTCATGAGCCGTTCTCTGTAAAATAAAAGATTAATGAATTTTTTTTTTTTTTTCAATTTTATACTTATATCTGACCTTTCTTCTCATATTTGACATCAGCTTTTTATCCAGAGTCTGGTTCAAAAATTTGACACTGACCAACTTCATGGTGCCCAAAAGTTTCGCGGCCAATGTCCGCACTTGCATCGATAAATCTGTCACTCCGTTGCAGATTTTCCCAAAAGCATCATCTATCAATCTTATTTCCAATACACTACCCGGTACTACTATTTCACTGAAATAATTAACGTCAATAATATAATCATTTAAATTTTCCAATAAAGCTCACTTATCTGGATAAGCGTTTCCCAAAATCCATATTAGTTTCAATGCAACACTCCTTACCACTTCATAATCGTCTTTGAGTGCATCAGATACGTAAACGTAAATACTCGGGTTAACTTTGAAGCCTCTATCGTAAAGCAAAATAATAGTTTGGAATGCCTGACTTCTAACTCTTGCGTCGTCATTATTGAAATATGAACTGATATGGTGAAAAAGTTTGTCTTGGTCTGTACAGAGCGGTGAATAAGAGCCGATAATTTCCAGACATCTGCATTTAACTGCGTGATTCGCATCCTGGAATAAATTATAATGATTTACAATTAATTACCAAGATTTGTCTTGGAACTAAAAAAAAATTGTTGTAAATGGCAATTACCTTTAAATAATTCTTGGCGACCTCAACCAATTTCTGATGGAAACCAGAGACGGTGTCCGTAACTAATTTTCCCAATTTAAGAATGGTTTTCATGCCTTGCGCCAAAACTTTATGGGAATGATCGTTCTTTATCAACATTATAGTTTCTTCGATTATATTGGCAGATTCGGCTGGATTTTCTCTTCCTATGTCGGACAGTATCATTAGGATTTTGACTCGCACAGCTGATTCTGCTTCATTTTTAAAATGTTCACTAAAAGTTACAAATTTATCAGTTATGTAGGTATTTTGATAATTCTTAAACAATCACAGAAAATGTTGTTGAAATGCAATTTTGCACTCACTTTGGATATTTTCAATTTTTCAATATCAATAGAAAAAGCCAAAAGGAAGCATTTTTAGGTGGATTTAGAATACTTATGTGGTTTCAAATATGATATGAAAGAATCCGTGTGACGATTCGCTCAAATTTTGGCAATTTATTTATTAAAAAATATTATTAAAATGCATCAATATGAGATAAGGCATACTGAACATAAATGGATGAATAATTATTTAAAAACTACAGATAAAACGTTAAAATGAACAACTGCTTCGTTAATCTGAAAGTATTGTCATGGCGCTGGCTTCTGTGACAGAAATCTTGGGTTCGTTTGTTCCAAAATCAAAGTCCAATTAACACAACAATAATTTATTCCATGTTACTATGCACTCTGATACTTATTACTTCACTAATCAACTCGAGAATCAACTGAAACAACTTAACTCTTTAAAACTCTTAACAATATTCACTATTTAAATCGTATAACAGCCAAACTCGAACTTAAAAACTTCTAACTAATACCGGCCTTAGTAATATATCTGTAAATCCATTCATTAGGCCAGGAAAGAGAGGTTGAACCTCGCAAACTCGACACAAGTTCTATTTTATTTTTTTCTGGTACGATAAGGGCTACTTATTATGAGTCTAACTTTTTCCAACAAAATTTCACCCTGGAACATCCCCTTTCATCCCCCTAAAGGTCGTTTTTTCTGGTTTTTCCGAAACGTAGCACTTCCGCTAAGTTTACAAAAAAATACCTTCATAGCAAATTAAAGAGGACTAAATTCTCTACAATTTATCCACCAACAGCATATGTCTATGACCTACCCTTTAGTCGAGGTGGCGCTCTAAAGTTGAATGACCTTGAAAAAAGATAATATTTTGCAAATTTTTTTTTTTCACTAAACAGTAAAGCGAATCCACCACAACCTATAAAGCAAATACTCATAAATAATTGGCTCATTTTTTGGTATATGTTTTATTTAAAAATAGTAACCCGTGATATTCAGGGTGTTGAAATTTAAACAACCCCCTCTTATATCATCTGAAGGGCTAATGCTAGGCTGTTCCAATTTTCAGGGATTATTGATGTTAGAATGATATTGAAAAATTCGTATAATGCACCCCTATTTTCCACCTGAAACCACCCCAAAAAAAAAAAAAAAATGCCTTTTTTTCATTTTCTTGCACACAATGCCCTCCATGTAAATGGTTCAAATATTTTTTGTGCGCACCTTCGACATACATGCATAGACACCAAAATCATTTATAATGCCTTGGAGAATAGATTTAATGTGGATTCAATCTACACAGATTTCTCGAAGGCATTTGACAAAGTCAATCATATTTTACTTAGTCAGAAACTTCATGTTGTAGGTGTTCATGGCACCTTACTTAAATGGATTGAATCTTACTTGAGTCAACGTACACAAATAGTTAAAATTAATAATTATTGTTCACTTCCAATCAAGGTTACCTCTGGAGTTCCCCAAGGGGCTCACATGGCTCCACTTTTGTTCAACATTTTTATTAATGATATTTCATCTTGCTTTGAGTTCTGTCAATTTTTAATGTTCGCAGATGATCTGAAAATTTTTGCAATGATTGAATCAAATAAGGATACAGTTAAAATCCAAAAAGACTTGGACACTTTTCATGCATGGTGAGACAAAAATAGATTGTTTCTTATTGTAGATAAGTGTAAATATATTCATTTTACTAAGGCTGTTATTGTGGAGTCGAACAACTATTATTTGAGCTTGACACAGCTCGAGAAGGTTGAGACAGTGAAGGATCTCGGAATTATTTTTGATTTTAGACTCAGTTTTGTTGACCATTTGAATTTTTGTAGGAGCAAGGCATTGCGAATGCTAGGTTCATTTTTAGAAATACACAGGACTTTACTAATTTGAATGCCTTGACAATATTGTATTTTAGCCTAGTTAGGTCCCACTTGGAATACTGTAGTGTCATTTGGTCCCCATTTTTTCAAAAATATATTTCAAATTTAGAGTCGATTCAGAGAAGGTTTTTGCGTTATATTGTGTTCAAATTAAGGATCCCTTGTGACCAAGTAGACTTCAGTGAATTGGAGATGTTACTTAAGATTCAGTCATTGGAGTCTAGGAGGTCTAATTTAGATGTACTGTTCGCACATAAAATTCTGCATGGTTCTATAGACTGCTCGGAACTTCTCCATCAACTTGATTATTACGTTCCCCCACGATCATTGAGAAATCATAAAACTTTTCAAACGCAGCAGCATCGAACGTGTTACGGTCAAAACACTGCGGTGAATAGAATCATGGAGGGTTGCAACAGTATTGATGTTGATATGTTTATGGTCTCTGAGCTTTTATTGAGAAATGCGCTGAGGAGGTAGTAGTTTTATAGCATTTGTACCTACTTATTGTTGTATGGTTAATTTAATTCTGGCTTGAATCTGAATGATTGTAGATTGTAATAATGTCTGCCCAGTGAGTCTGTGTCTACGGGGCAGCAGTGAGGGGAATGCAGTTGTAAAAAAAAATGGCTGATTTCATTCATAAAATACCCAGCGGCGTGCGTAACTTTTTGGAAGTGTTATTTTATTGCAACTCGTACACGAAAATCAATAATAACCAAACTCCCGCCACTGGATATTTCAATATAAATCAATATTCCAAGATGGGAGGAAACAATGACGGGAGCCCTAGCCAATAGCACCCAATAGCGAGACGTAAGGTGACGTTAACCCATTGACAACGGCATGGTTCCACGTGGCAACGGCAATAATGCCAAAAACTCCACCAATCAGGGTCATCCAGGCCGGATGCTTGCCAAATTGACAAAAGCTGATGGAATCTTTAGAAAATGTCTATCTTTTACAATAGACCAAATTGAAGAAATCAGGTATTTAAATAAGAATAGATCGAACAACACAACGTTAAAATATTCAACGTTTTATTATTGTTATCTATATTTTGTTATTAAAAAATGGATTTTCAAATGAACTATATATCATACCTAGTATTTTCGCTTTTTTATAATTAAACGTGACAACATCGTACATTTACGTCCGAATTCCTTCCGTAGCCTCAGAACCGCTGGGCAAACAATACCTACCCAACTGTTGTGGTGCGCCTATCTGGGTCACGGTTTAGGAGTACTACTTATTGTATTAATTGTATTTTGTATTTCTGTTAGTACTAGAATTAATATTGTAAATGCCTACCATGTATGTAATGGATGTTCCATTAAATAAATAAATAAATAAATAAATAAAAAAACGATTGTGATTAAAAAGGCAGACACAAAAGTTTTGTACTGCAACGAAGATCCTAAGTTCATCCGTCTATTTAACTGCGCTAAATATTAGATAGCCCGCAGCGAGACATCGACACTCGACGGTTTATTGAGTTTATCACCCATCCAGCAAAAAAAGTGGCTAGCGCGATAAGATAGTAAAGGTTTTGTTTATTTTTATTTTTATGCTAGTTTTTTCCTGGTACTTTGGAAACGACGCGATCAAACAAAGACCCTGTAGGTACAAAATTTTGGTGCGGCGGGCACACGTAAAAACCGATGCTAACATCACAGACATATAGAAAATGCTGTTGAAATGCAATTTTACATTTATTTTGGACATTTTTTCTTGAAACACATTCCAAATTTCAATAGAAAATGCCAAAAAAAGCACATAAAGGACAAGACAAATGAATGCAACTTTGTGAGTTTCAAAAATCTGTCTACAGAAAAAGGATCTGTATGCTATTAGTTCCAATTTTCAGGTTCTTAGATCATGAAAAATCTCAAAAAATGCAATTTTACACTCAACACGACAAAGGCGAAACACAAATTAATGATTTGATTATTTTAACTGTTGATGCTAATTGAAGCAATATTAAACTAGTTCTTACCTTAATTTTTTAATAACTTCCGGAATATCAGCAACATCCACCTCAAGTCTATCAGGAATACTCAGTAGAAGTATTAAAGCTTCATTAGTGCTCTTACAATCTTCCAAATGACTAACGACTGTAGGAAGCGAGTTATTAATTCCCGGTAACGGTTTCTTCACAAGTTTTAACTTTTTTATTGGTATTGTTGCCGATTCCTATAAAAACATAATTTGAGTATTTTTCACGATATGCAAAATTACCTTTACCTGTGTAATGGTTTGGCTATATTCTGCCAGGGCTCTTTTCTTTAGTAGCGCTGCCATTTTAAAACCTGGTAGAAAGATCCAAATGAAAATTAAAATCTGAGAAACATTATTTTTATTTCGAAATTTGTTATTTTAAGGTTATGGTTAATGGTTATGAATGATGTTTGTTTGTTTTGTTTTAATTTGTCAGAGTACGTTCATTAATTCGTAGTACTCTGGAGCTTGGTTGTGTTTGGTCACTCCGTGCACTCTGTACTCCATAAGCAATCCGTTTGTTCTGGTATACCTTTTTAGTGTGAATAGAGTATTTAACTAAGTGCAGGTTCGGCTAGAGAAAGTAGATAAAATAGATCTCACTCAAAAAGCCAGTCGATTTGGCTGAATCGAGTAGAAAAGAGTATACAAATCCCGAACTTGGCTAATGTTGGTTAATAATTTTCTTACTCCAAAAGTTCCGGTCGGGGGTTCATCTAGGAGGAGCTCCAGAGTCCTTATTCTGGAAACAGGGGAGCAAGGAGCAACTTAGATACGGCTTGTATTTTTCGATTGCCTGAGGTGTTTACTCGCGTCTCAAAGTTTTGAAACGTTTCTCAAAACTGGGGGCGGATTACGAACTCTCGATTCGAACCGAAACCGCCATGGATTTCGAACGCATTCTGTTGCATTCGCATGGAGTGCGTTCGAAATCCATGGCGATTTCGGTTCGAATCGAGAGTTCGTAATCCGCCACCTGATGTGAAACAGTTCCACAATGACGTCATAACTTCTCGGCGCGACAAAATGGTTTTAAAACGTGGAATGAATTGTATTTCGAAACGGTTTGAAGTAGTTTGAACCAATTTTGATATGACGTCATAAGTTCGTTGCGAGAGTATAATAGGCAATTTTTCGCGAGGATAACCAAACATAATATTTTGCTGAATTATGTGATGGTGATGTGTCATTTGTGTCATACTCCCCTAATAGTACTCATAACTGCGAAATTCGCATTTTTTTCACATTGCTTCGACAATTTGACGTTTGATACACGCATAAAACGTCAAAATGTCAACGTAATGTCAAAAAAATGCGAATTTCGCAGTTATGAGTACTAGGCTTAACTCCCCCACCATCGAATTCTGGGATACTCGAAGATCTTGAACACTCAATTTCTTTTGTGAGAACCAATGAACTATAACCAAAAACTGGAATGCTAACACATAAGGACGAACTTGAAGCCTAGTGCGGCTGCTGCGGAGGGGATACCTGTTTTTGTCGCACTCATTATGTTAAATGGCGAAAATTGCTTCCAACACGTATTCCAATTGATGAAACCTGTGAAGGGAAATATGACAAAACTTTCGAAAACGTCATATGTCAGCGAGCAACAGAAAAAAACAACATTCCCCCTTGTGGCATCTGTCTTTCATGGCTTCATTTTTTTGGCAGATATGGCAATGTGTGCGCATTCCAGTTTTTAGCTATAGTTCATTGGTGAGAACAGACCGAAAATAACCTTTTCTACATTCAAAAATGGCGAAAAAATTAACTCATTAGCACAGCTTGAATCGCAAGCAGTCCTCCATCGAGGTCTGCGGGTGACGTCATCACTACAAGCTGCTGCTGGTATAGTATTTTTAATACCCATTTAGAATAACCCCATCCTTATTTATCAATCACGAATCAGATGAAACAAAAAATTAGCAACAAAAACGAACGTCGATTGCTAATACGTCAATTTCATGTACAAATAGGAAATTCCTAACCCAATTTTATTTGTGTGTTCAAGAAGCGACATACGTTTAGTCACTAGAACGACTGGTACTTCTAAATAGGTATTAAAAATTCTATAACATCACTCTCAGGCCCAGAATAGGGTACTTGCACGAAAAATTAAATTGATTATTGTTTATTGCAAACTGTACGAAATCGAAAAAAAATCATCGATGCGTGTTTTTTTATTTTGTCCAAATATGATTATTCCGGAAGTTATACAAATATTGAGTTTTGTATATACATATAGATATAGTGAGCATGTGCGACGTCACAACTCACAACGTATTATACCATACCTAAGTTATGACGTCGGAAGAACATTTCAAAGCGTTGTATCTCCGTCAATTTTTGAAAAAGAAAAATCCCGTGTTGACTTATTTTTCATGGACTATCGGAATCAGCAATAAAAAAATTTGATGCAAGGAGCCTATTTGATGGAGAGGGCTTTAGGGGAGTATCACGTGAAACAATAATTGACACATCATTTACTACAGAAACATAAATTTTTCCGTAAAAAATTCGTGAAAAACTATACTATAAACCGTTAAAACCGAAAAGTTCAATGTCAATAGCAGCTCCTAAGAAGATCTTCCTGATTTTTCGAGTAGGTAGGTAGAGCAAGTACAAATGGGAACACCATTAGTTCTTTCCAAGTGGCTCCGGTTTAACTAACCGGGTTACAAAACGGTTAGAGAAATGAAATACCATTTTCCTACGAGCGTGCGCAAAGTAGTACTTTTCCGCACGCATTTCCGGGCTCAAAGTTACACTTTTCCGCACTCAGTGCGGATACAGGCCTTATCCGCACTGAGTGCCGAAAAGTAATTATAATTGTCAAGCAACAATAAGTGCACCTGTCGACTTTGACACATGATGACAAATTTTTCCTCTATTTCTATATCAGCCAACATCTATACAAACACCAATTATAAATTAACTTTGACCCATCAGATTTGTTCTCTATTTATATGCAAAAATCTATAAACTTTCTCATCAAATTTAAACGCTTTAAGATGAACAGCTCTGACGAGGACTTTCTGTTATTTGTTTCTGTTATGTAATTTTTTGATAAATGCATAGGTTCCTTTCAAGTTAATTAAAAATAATTAAACAAATTATCGTTTTTTTTTTTTTAATTTTTGTTATTACCTACCTGATATGAAGCTCGTAGGAAAAATGTTGTTCCTAACACGTGCGCAAAGTGTCTTTTCCGCACGCAAACACGTATCCGAACTCCGCTTCGCGTCGTTCGTATAACTGTGTTTGCGTGCGGAAAAGTAACACTTTGCGCACTTGTTAGGAAAATAACTATTTCCTACGAGCGTGCGGAAAAGTTACTTTTTCGCACGATTTTTCGTTTTGAAAGTTGTACTTTTCCGCACGATTTTACTTTTCCGCACTATTTTTTTACTTTTCCGAATGATTTTCACTTTTACTGAAAAGTGTACCCATATTAAAGTTCGGAGGCCCCTTATTTGGGGGGCGGAGCCCCGCGGTGGCCTTCTATTTGGGGAGCATAGTTCCGCGGGCCCCATTTTTGAGGGGCATAGTCCCGCGGGGCCCCTTTTTGGGGGGGGCGAAGCCCTGGGTGCTCCTTTTTGGGGGGGCGGAGCCCCTTATTTGGGGACACAGCCCCGCAGGGCCCCCTATTTTAGGTGGCTTAGCCCCGCGAAGGTAGGGAATCCTAACAATTTTTTTGGCCAATTTAGTTATATCTAGGCCAAGGATCATGATAAAAAAATCCGGTTCCATTATTTTTTTGTGTATAAAAAAATCGTGCGGAAAAGTAAAATCGTGCGGAAAAGTAAAATCGTGCTGAAACGTTACTTTTCCGCACGATTTTTTTATTGCTAAAAATGAAGATATTTAGGATCAAATACAGGGTGTCCCACGGTGGATGGCGTATTAGACAATGGAAAACTAAAAAGCGGATCATTTTGAAAATTTGGCAACCAGGATAAGCGACTATAATCTATACTTTAAAAATATTTTCGTTATTGCGGTGTTGCCGCTTCTACTCTAAACTAGTGGCAACATCGCTATTTTAAATGGAACACCCTATATTTGATTGCATATTTGGATTCTAAGTTAAATTCTGAGCAGATTTTATGTGATATACCCTATACCTAAGTTCAACTGTTTTGGAAATATTGACAGTTGAAAATTGACTTTTTGCAACTTTGACAGGCTGTAAAACCTCAACGGTTAATTTTAGAGGAAAACCGATTCCACATTCCCATCTTAGATTTTCATAAACTATCATTTGACACCAACTTTGAAATTAACCGGAGATTAAATTTAACTGGAATTTTTAATCATGGATTTAATTCAAAGTTGGTGTCGAATGATAGTTTATAAAAATCTAAGATAGGAATGTGGAAGCGGTTTTCCTCTAAAATTAACCGTTCAGGTTTTACAGCCTATCAAAGTTGCGAAAAGTCAATTTTCAACTGTCAATATTTCCAAAACAGTTGAACTTAGGATACCCTATACCTCGCACATCGCATGAAATCTGCTCAGAATTTTACGTAGAATCCAAACATGCAACCACATGTAGGGTGTTTCATTTAAAATAGCGATGTTGCCACTAGTTTAGAGTAGAAGTGGCAACACCGCATAAACAAAAATATTTTTAAAGTGTAGATCATGGTCGTTTATCCCGGTTGCCATATTTTCAAAATGATCCGCTTTTTAGTTCTCCATAAGCGTCTAATATACGCCATCCACCGTGGGGCTCCCTGTATAGTTATTTGTTTTACTAGGCAGAAAAGTACAAGATTTAATGACGTGGCTGGTGTTTCATAGCCGAGGCATAGCCGAGGGTAGGAAACCAGCTAAGGCATTAAATCTGCTTTTCTGCCATGTAAAACATATAATTTTTTCTTCGAATGTTCAAATTCACACATGGACATCTTTTTTATATTTATTTCATTCATTATTATTATCCGAATAATTAAATTATTTTGATAATTGTCATTGTCACCATCAATTTCATATACCAAATTGAGTGAAATTATTACCTGGAACGTTGTGACATTGTCACTTTTAATGCCTAGGCAGTAAAAGTCCACTTTTACTGCCTAGGCAGTAAAAATACAACTTTTGATCCTGTCAAGTGTCATTAAAAGGCCGTTTTTACTGTCATTCGGAGAAAAAATGATTTATGTTACATATTATTTTATATTATGTGCTAGTTTGTACCATCATTATAAAATCTTTGCGTATTGGAACATTTTTTTTGATAAATAATATGGACAAAAGCACTCGTAGGAAAAATATTGTACCTAACCTTCGACGGCCTGCCCGAACTCCGCTCCGCGTCGTTCGTGCAACTGCCGTCTCGTGCGGAAAAGTACCACTTTCCGCACTTGTTAGGTAAATAACTATTTCTTAACCCGGTTACAAAGTGACGTGATGGATACCTACCACTCGAAGTTGAGCGGTATGTTGCGGTTTGTTAAACCGGAGCCACGTGAAAAGGGTTATTGCTTAGAGTAGAGCGAGTATATACAATTGTCATTTGTCAATCAGTCCAATATTCAATTCAAAAGTCAAATAAAAAGCTAAACGCTCCTCTTTCGTTTTTCGCTCCCTAACTAACCTAAAAATTTGAGCATAAATAAAAATTCCAAAAAAATAGAAAAGCAGTTTTCGTGTAATTTTCACACATTTTCCAATTGAAAAACGGTAAATAAAGGCTACCGAAATGGCCCTGAACAAACCAAAATCCGAGATGTCGTCCGAAGAGCTACAAGCCCGTGAAGAAGAAGAATTCAATACCGGACCCCTTTCTGTTCTCACTCAATCAGTGAAAAACAACACTCAGGTATTGATTAATTGCAGAAACAACAAAAAGCTATTGGGAAGAGTGAAAGCGTTTGATAGGCATTGCAATATGGTGCTGGAAAATGTAAAGGAAATGTGGACGGAGCTGCCCAGACCCGGTAAAGGAAAGAAGAAGTCCAAGCCCGTGAACAAGGACCGATTTATTTCCAAGATGTTTCTGAGAGGCGACGCTGTTATTATGGTGGTGAGGAATCCTCTTGCAACGGCCAGTTGAGATAATTAATCTGTAAAAATTGGTTAAATAAACATTTTTATATTAAGTAATTTTTTAGGGAGGTATTATTTTTAATAGTGTATCCCAAAAATTAATCTTTTCTATAAAATTTTCTCAGCCAATGAAACTAAGTTGAAGGATTTTACACCAATAATAGTACATACTCAAATACAACTTTTAGCCAAGTTTGGATTTTTTTTTCTTGTGCAAGATTAGCGCAACTTTCTGGTTTCCAGCATATTTCTTATAGACCCCAGTACATCGACCATTTAATTTTGTAACTCATCTATATAGAGTGTTTCAAATTCAAGCCACATCATTAGAATCTCGGGAATGATGTGAGATACAGGGTTGGTTAAATTGGGGCAAAGTTGCGTAATTTGATGCTTAACAAAATGCCGCTTTGATATTTAGGATATTCCAAATACTTCCGGAGATATCTTGAAAAACCGAAATTTTGCAAAATTGTTTTTATTTTTTCCTGACTTTATTTGAAGTTATATTTCAAAAAAAATATCACTTCATCATAGCCACTTTTTCTCCCCTACAAGATGCTACCATCAAATTTAAAATCTACTATTTCGTCTTTCGGCCACCATCATCAACTTAATTTTTCTAAATAAGAACCCTTATTTTTTATTTCAGATTTTATAAGCTTCTGATGCCCCAAAACCAATGACAAATTGCACTTATTCAAAAAATTTATATTATTGGCACTTTCCATAAGAACTAAATGTCTTAGAGAGAGGGACAGAGAAGAGAATTTTGGTAGGAGATTACTAAAAAGTAAAAAAATAGTACATTATATTATACCTAGGTAAAGAAGTTGGTCATTATATACCGAGCGCTTTTATAAACCAAGCCGCAAAGCGTCGAGGTTTATAATGACTTTCTCTACAGGGTTGTTCTTGGGGAATTTTTGTGTGTGCCTGCAGCGAAACTCAAATAGTGCCACTTAAAAAAAATGATGAGAGAGGATTTTTTGACTTTTTACCCATTTCTTTTTATTACATGAATAAAAAGGGAAAGATATAATATATTTCATATATTAATTCCCTAAAATTAATTTGAATGTGAATCGTGCCAAATTTTTCAAAGTGGTGCCACCGTGCATTTTGCGGGCGAGAAGTGCCACTTTTGGCACAGTTGTGCCCTTTGAACAACACTGTTTCTCTACCGAGGGATATATAGAATTTTTTTTACTACTGCTAGTAGAAAATAAAAAATAGGTTTGAAACCTGTGCTCAAATTATTTTCTCTTATCGGAAGTGCTGCCCTCTATCAACAGCTTACGGTAATTTCCTATAATGTACATCAGGAACCTGCTTTTTTTAAAATTAACAGTTTGACACTGAAATTAAACCATTAGAAACCTGTTACGTTATGACAATATTCTTGCTTCATGACGTATTTTTCATTATTAACCTAGGGAGAGAAATTCAATTTTTTCGCAGAAAAATTAATGGAATAATAGGTCTGTTTCTGCAGAAATCACAAACCAGACAGAGTGAATTCCATTGGTTGAAACTAGTTTTCTGACTGTTTCTGATTGTTTTCAACCAATGAAATTTGCTCTGACTGGTTTGTGATTTCTGCAGAAACAGACATGACTACTTCTCAGGTTAGTAGTAAAAAAACTACTTTACTCATTGGTGTAGGGTTGCCAGATTGAAATATCTACAAATCGGGTAGGTATACCTAAAGTGACCAGATCTTGAAAGTCCAAAAGCGGGACAAAGTCACAAAGTTCTCAAAAATCTTGTTTTCATTTTGAGTTTTAGTTGTTTTGGGTACCTGGGCAGTGATAAATAAAATTACTTATGTAGTTATAGAAAATATGTAATGAGATACAAAAAAATCACAAATTTAAAACTGCAAAAAATAAATTTACAGTCCTTCACAAAGATGCAACCGGGAAGGATATTAAAAATGCCGAAACAGAGTTCAACGCTAATGCTTGTGAGTGACTATTGTGAGCTCTGATGAGATCTGCGAAAACTTATACAGGGTGTTTCATTAGGAAAGGGACATATTCTGAATGCAGATAGGGTTCCAAAAAACCTATATTTGATCGCCCTTTATACCAGAGATACAAGATGATATATCGATTTTGTTAATTTTTTTATTCCCCTATAACTTCTGAACGGCCCCGTATTTTTTTCTCAGATTTGGTATAGGTACTTATTAATGGTAGAGAAAAAAATACGGGGTTGTTCAGAAGTTATAGGGGGATAAAAAAGTAACGAAATCGATAAATCACCCTGTATCTCTGATAGACCCATCAAATATAGGTTTTTTTGGAACCCTCTCGGTCACCCCTATCTGCATTCAAAATATGTCGCTTTCCCGCAATAAAACACCCTGTAGATTTGAATGTTATATTGAACGAAATAGTTTTTAATTTTGATTTGAAGTAGGTACTTAAATGAATAAAAAAAAGTTGATAGTTAGAATTTATTGAAAGCGGGACAAAAGCGGGACGCTTAATAAATCGAGACTCGTAACTCGAAATCGGGACTGTCCCGCCTAAATCGGGACGGATGGTCACTTTAGGTATACCAATCAAAAAGCTGTTAAAAAATCGGGCTCCGTCAAGTTAGCCCCCCCACATTCGAATTTTCTAAAAAAATTGCAACCACTTACTGTGCTCGAAGTGTGCTTTACTGTGCCCATGATATTTTGAACTGTGCCGTTTCGATAACAAAGTTATAGGAAAAAATAGATGAGGGGCTAACTTGACGCTCAGCCCCCCGAAAATTATGGAATTCAGATGAAACCAAAAAGGATTCTTATCCAATTTGAAGTGTGCTGAACTGTGCTGTATCAGGTTTTTCTCAAAATTTCCATATTCGGTCATTTTTTGACAAAATTCTACTGGGGGGCTAACTTGACGCTCAGCCCCCCCAAAATTTTGGAAATCCGATTATTGTCTGGCTAACCAAACGGCGAACTGCATTAGTATTTGCTGCTTTGCCAAACTTGTAGTATTTTGAAATAGAAAAAAATTCGGCAACATTTTGTCGGAAAATGACCGAATATGGAAATTTTGAGAAAAACCTGATACAGCACAGTTCAGCACACTTCAAATTGGATAAGAATCCTTTTTGGTTTTATCTGATTTCCAAAATTTTGGGGGGGCTGAGCGTCAAGTTAGCCCCCCAGTAGGATTTTGTCGGAAAATGACCGAATATGGAAATTTTGAGAAAAACCTGATACAACACAGTTCAGCACACTTCAAATTGGATAAGAATCCTTTTTGGTTTTATCTGATTTCCAAAATTTTGGGGGGGCTGAGCGTCAGTTAGCCCCCCAGTAGGATTTTGTCGGAAAATGACCGAATATGGAAATTTTGAGAAAAACCTGATACAGCACAGTTCAGCACACTTCAAATTGGATAAGAATCCTTTTTGGTTTTATCTGATTTCCAAAATTTTGGGGGGGCTGAGCGTCAGTTAGCCCCCCAGTAGGATTTTGTCGGAAAATGACCGAATATGGAAATTTTGAGAAAAACCTGATACAGCACAGTTCAGCACACTTCAGATTGGATAAGAATTCAGTTTGTCCAAACTGATTTTCGAAATTTTGGGGGGCAGAGCGTCAAGTTAGCCCCCCAGTAGGATTTTGTCGGAAAATGACCGAATATGGAAATTTTGAGAAAAACCTGATACAGCACAGTTCAGCACACTTCAAATTGGATAAGAATCCTTTTTGGTTTTATCTGATTTCCAAAATTTTGGGGGGGCTGAGCGTCAGTTAGCCCCCCAGTAGGATTTTGTCGGAAAATGACCGAATATGGAAATTTTGAGAAAAACCTGATACAGCACAGTTCAGCACACTTCAAATTGGATAAGAATCCTTTTTGGTTTTATCTGATTTCCAAAATTTTGGGGGGGCTGAGCGTCAGTTAGCCCCCCAGTAGGATTTTGTCGGAAAATGACCGAATATGGAAATTTTGAGAAAAACCTGATACAGCACAGTTCAGCACACTTCAGATTGGATAAGAATTCAGTTTGTCCAAACTGATTTTCGAAATTTTGGGGGGCAGAGCGTCAAGTTAGCTCCCCAGTAGGATTTTGTCGGAAAATGACCGAATATGGAAATTTTGAGAAAAACCTGATACAGCACAGTTCAGCACACTTCAAATTGGATAAGAATCCTTTTTGGTTTTATCTGATTTCCAAAATTTTGGGGGGGCTGAGCGTCAGTTAGCCCCCCAGTAGGATTTTGTCGGAAAATGACCGAATATGGAAATTTTGAGAAAAACCTGATACAGCACAGTTCAGCACACTTCAGATTGGATGAGAATTCAATTTTGTCCAAACTGATTTTCGAAATTTTGGGGGGGCTGAGCGTCAAGTTAGCCCCCCAGTAGGATTTTGTCGGAAAATGACCGAATATGGAAATTTTGAGAAAAACCTGATACAGCACAGTTCAGCACACTTCAAATTGGATAAGAATCCTTTTTGGTTTTATCTGATTTCCAAAATTTTGGGGGGGCTGAGCGTCAGTTAGCCCCCCAGTAGAATTTTGTCAAAAAATGACCGAATATGGAAATTTTGAGAAAAACCTGATACAGCACAGTTCAGCACACTTCAAATTGGATAAGAATCCTTTTTGGTTTTATCTGATTTCCAAAATTTTGGGGGGGCTGAGCGTCAGTTAGCCCCCCAGTAGAATTTTGTCAAAAAATGACCGAATATGGAAATTTTGAGAAAAACCTGATACAGCACAGTTCAGCACACTTCAAATTGGATAAGAATCCTTTTTGGTTTTATCTGATTTCCAAAATTTTGGGGGGGGCTGAGCGTCAAGTTAGCCTCTCATCTATTTTTTCCTATAAATTTGTTATCGAAACGGCACAGTTCAAAATACCATCGGCACATTAAAGCACACTTCCAGCACAGTAAGTGGTTGCAATTTTTTTAGAAAATTCGAATGTGGGGGGGCTAACTTGACGCAGCTAAAAAATCGGGACTTTGAATAAAAATCGGGACACTTTTTTTTTTAAAGGAATAATTTGATATAAAAATAATACTGAACAATAAAGTTTCTAATAAAATTCAAAAATATACTGAGAAATGTTCCACAGAAAGGAGAGAGGTCTCACTTCTAAATATGAATATATAGGATTTAAATGGACATCGATCATAAAAAAATGAAAACAATGTATTTGATGTGCCTAATTATAGTCATCGGATAGGTACGTTCTTCTCAATTTTTTATTATGGATTTTCATTTAAATACTATTTATTCATATTTAAAAGTAGCAAGACGTTTTCCATATGAATATCCGCGTGTGGCTAAGTTCATCAAAATTGTGCAAAGCCATCGGTTCGCATATTCATTTTCTGCCAACGTAATAGGACCTTCGGCTGCATTCGTGTTCGTTCGAGCACAGCGTAGGCAAATTATGATTGAAGTGGACTAACGTTGGCAGTTTATAGAG